TGGTCGGATTTCGTCAATGCCAATAAAATGCCATATAATCATACTTAACTCGTTAAATATTGAAATTAGAAGAGAAATTCATAGAATTTTTCATAGAATTGCATATTTCCTTCTATACTTTTTAGCACGTAGCTATTTATTATTAGCATTATTCTTCCGACGTCTGATTTCTTAATTATAGGAAATGCGTTTTTCTAAGGTGCATAAACTATTGGGATTGACCGTATAGCCAATACATCCTTAAATTTGTCGAAGCATTTTTGAAGTTCTATAGTTTTATACGTTTCAAGATTTCCCTTCTGTGCTGACAGTCTCCCCTTGAGGTCTGAGGAGCTATCGTTAGAAGGGAATCGGAAAGGGGATTACGCACGGCCGACGTGCAAAGTGAAAAATCGCGAACTGTCTCGGGGAAATTGGCCCGCGGTCCATTCTTGGCCGCTGTTTGCAGCGGGATATCCGTTCGATTCGCCGGGATTTGCGTGGATCCTCGGCGGTCGAAGGAGGACCCAGAACCCAGGTGTCGAGCGAGGACCAGTAATAGAAGCCAGTTTCCAGCAAGTGCGTTCGGAAACACTTTCGAGGCGAACGGATTCACCCCTCATCCATCCCGATCCCACGTTTTTTTCCTCTTTTCACTTAATTCGCTGCACGTCCCGCGAAAAATGCACGGGTAAACGCGATGGGAGAAAAAGAGTTGCGCGGATGAAAATGCAATTTTCCGGGCAGCTCGCACGGTAAATTGCGCATATAACTGCATCGCGATCGGGATTCCCCCGATATTTCGTTAATGCGGTTGCGCTCGAATCTCGGAATAGAATTGAGCCGGTGCCTGTATTATTTTATTTTCCTCCTTATAATTTGTTCCGCACGCATCGATTGCCGGCTCGTTAACGTAACATTCCCCGGTTGAATGTGTGTAGGCGCGTGGACGCGGGGTGCATAATACGGTCGTGTGTAAATTTCAAATTACATATTTGTGCGTATTGTTACCCGATACTACGGCTTGGAAATTTATTGCGATTGGTTAGCCGAAGTTTACACACAATCGACGCGTTTTACGCCGTTGGAAATTAATCGCCCGTGAGCTTTGCCCGGCCAAAAAATGCACCGCAGTTCGATTACGTTTATTAAAACCAAATGGTCGAATCGCTTGCAGGAAAAACAAAAACGAAAATTATAAATAGCAAATAAAACACTCGGTCAATTTAATCTGTAGGAAAAAAAATATTCTTTGGGAACAGATTTAATATTCCAAGTGACCGCTTATAACACTAAAA